AATATATAGCATAGCTGCTAATGTAATATATAGCATAGCTGCTAATGTAATATATAGCATAGCTGCTAATGTAATATATAGCATAGCTGCTAATGTAATATATAGCATAGCTGTTAATGTAATATATAGCATAGCTGCTAATGTAATATAGCATAGCTAATATTGCCGCTCGCGTCGCTGGTCGGGTTGCTAGCCAAGATAGTTTATTTCGGCCAAACTATGCATGAGAGAAGGAGTGTGGCGGGATGCTGCGGCCAAAGTGAAGTTTTTCGAGCGGAATTTACCATGCACACGTGCCGTCGGTCCGCCCCCTGTTCAGATTGCACGTTGAGAACGGCTGAAGAAAATGATCCTGGCTGTCTACGGCGACCGACGTCCGAGCGCCATTCACATGTACCTTAGCATAGGTGGGAATCGTAGCGGGATGCGCGAGCAAAGTGAATTTTGCATTTCGGATTTTTCTAGCGTATCAGGCTGGGCAGGTGCCACCTCGATGGACAAATATTTTATAAAAAGAAAAAAATACGGTCGCGGTAACGAGCTTGTAGTTAATTGGAGTAGGGAGGGGTTCAACTCTTTGACCGCGCCATGTCGAGCCATGCACCCACAGGCACTTGGAGCGTTTCAATAAAATATAATGCTAAATAAATACGAANCTTACCTGTAACTGATCAGTACTGATCACTCACCTGTAACTGATCAGTACTGATCACTCACCTGTAACTGATCAGTACTGATCACTCACCTGTAACTGACCACACACCTGTAACTGACGCATGTCTACTAATTACAGGTATTAATCGCATTTACCCTAGCTCACACTGACCGGCAGCAGCCACAGACCTGTACTGACTGCATGCCTCCACTGACCAGTCATGTCAGTCCAGACATGGACCAGGACTACCCATACATCTACACTGATCCCTGGAGCGCGACTACACTGACCGAGGGTGACCATCGTCCACCCATGGACCAGGACTACCCATACATCTACACTGATCCCTGGAGCGCGACTACACTGACCGAGAGTGACCATCATCCACCCATGGACCAGGACTACCCATACATCTACACTGATCCCTGGAGCGCGACTACACTCACCGAGAGTGACCATCATCCACCCATGGACCAGGACTACCCATACATCTACACTGATCCCTGGAGCGCGACTACACTCACCGAGAGTGACCATCATCCACCCATGGACCAGGACTACAGTAAAAACCCGCGTATAAGAACA